ACTTGATAACATTGTACTTAACAACACTTGATAACACTGTACTTAACAACACTTGATAACATTGTACTTAACAACACTTGATAACACTGTACTTAACAACACTTGATAACATTGTACTTAACAACACTTGATAACATTGTACTTAACAATAGAAAGAGAGAGTAGAACACTAATGTTTGTAACTTTAACTTCTCTGAAAGATATAATATATATACCTATATATGTGTTACAAGAATAGTTTACTTCATGTTGTTTAAATACAGAAAAATCAGTCTTCCTTAAATATATTGGGTTATAACTTTACTTTGATATTCTTGTTTCATTAAGATAACAGTTTCATGGGTTACCTGGGCCCGGCATGGTCAGGTGGTTAGGGTCGCGGGTTCGAATCCCTATCACACCAAACATGCTAGCTCTTTCAGCCGTGGGGGCGTTATAATGTGAGGTCAATCCTACTATTCGTTGGTAAAAGAGTAGCCCAAGAGTTGGCAGTGGGTGGTGATGACTAGTTGCCTTCCATCTAGTCTTGCACTGCTAAATTAGGGATGGCTAGCGCAGATAGCCCTCGTCTGGCTTTGCATGAAATTCATAACAAACAATCATGGGTTACCCCATTTTTTCAGTTAGTTACCAGCATGTTTATTATCAATCAATTAGCAAGGAAGTTAGACCTACATTAGTTTTGGAATTTCTGTGGAAATGTTGTTTGTGAAATTAGGCCTACAAGTGGATGTAGCCTGTAGCAAACATTATCGAAGAAAGAAATGAAGTTGTTATCGTTAAGTGAACATTATTTATACCAAGTAATCCAAAAGAACCAACCCAACAATAAAACATGTATTTAACTGTTATTGGACACAGCTATCAGAAGATTTTAATAACTTATATTGATTTACGTCAGATTCTTTACATAGTTTTCTTTTTTTTCACATTTCCAGGTGTGAAACCATAGCTCTTGGTAATGGCACAGCTTGTCGAGAAACAGAGGAATTTCTTTCTTCATTAATTCAAAACAGAACATTTGCTCCCTTTGATGTAATGTATTGGTAAGAAAAACTGACAGGACATTATTTGCTATGTCTAATTTTGATTAATAAAATTGAGTTTTCAAAGCTGTAATAATGATGTGTTTATTTTCAGAAAAAGAAAGTAATATGTAGGGCCACAAAAAGTCATCTGTGAATTTATAAAAATTAAGTGCCAGTTGATGTATAAGCAATGATAATGAAATACTCTTTGTAAAATAATCTTTATCGATTTGGATGGAATATATTTTCAATTTATGCATAATTTGGTGATATGTTTAGTTAGTTTTTACAACTATTCATCATTGAAGAAGATTATTTCCAAAAATATTAACTTGAAGTTTGTTTTAGCTTGTCATTTCCTGATGATTGTAACCTTTTTAAATTTTGTAGACAGGAATTCTATAATGCTTTCTTCTTCAGCTACATGTACATGGGTAAGACAGTGTTATTTTACTGTGTGCAGAGGTTTAGCAGAGCTGGACTGGTTCTTCAGTACTTTTTTCAGTCATTTGGTTCTCAGCTGCTAATAATTAGGATTATATTTAGAATATTTCCTCATTAGAATTTGTGTTAAAAACAATAAAGAAATAACAGTAATTGATACTAGACATATTAGTGTTGACTAGCATATAATTTAAGTGCACATATTTAAAAATAGTTTTGTCAAACAAAATGGTGAAGATGCCTCCCAATACAAAGCAATGCCCATTTTTATTCCATATTAAATTTTACATAAATAACAAAACTTTCAGATCTGTAATTCAGCATAACTTTTTTCACTGTTTTATCTAACACGTGACAGGGATCTGGTGTATGTATTTTTTAAAAATAAAGATTAGTAGGTATTGAGTCATAGTAGAGTTTTAAAATGCACAGTGCCACAGAATGTGAACATAAATATATCACATATGTATACATCCTTTTATGGTAGCAGTGTTGCCGAACATATGTATATATATATAATAGAACAAAGAATTCAAAATTATTGAATAATTAAATACAATTTGAGATGTGGGGACTAATAATAACAACAACAATAATTATTGATGTTATTTAGTCATGTGGCTAATGCCTTTATCCAATGTCACTTACATAATGTTTTATTAAAATGCATTGTGATACATATACGACATTACATCTCGTAATTAGTCACAGCTCTGGATCATTTTGTTTAACCACATATTTCTACCACACAAGAATTTGTATTAAAACATAGCTTTATAAGAAACTATAAAGTTACATTTAATAACTCTGCTTTCAGCTGCTTCAGAGATATGTACATATTGGTTCCTTTCAGATTTCAAAAAAAAGTGTAATCATTTATTCTTGTGACATTCCAGCATTGTGAATGAAAGTGGAGTATCCATCTACAGCGTCACTAAAGATGCTGAAATAGAGTTTCCAAAACTTGATCCAAATCTCAGGAGTGCTGGCAAGTACTTGTTTTTATCATCATCATAAATTTCTTTCTGGCAAGTATTTGTTTTTTATCATCATCATAAATTTTCTTTCTGGCAAGTATTTGTTTTTATCATCATCATAAATTTCTTTCTGGCAAGTACTTGTTTTTATCATCATCATAAATTTTCTTTCTGGCAAGTATTTGTTTTTATCATCATCATAAATTTCTTTCTGGCAAGTATTTGTTTTTATCATCATCATACATTTCTTTCTGGTAAGTATTTGTTTTATCATCATCATAAACTTATTCCTGTCAAGTATTTGTTTTCATCATAAACTTCTTTCTGGCAAGTATTTGTTTTTATCATCATAAATTTCTTTCTGGCAAGTATTTGTTTTTATCATCATCACAAATTTCTTTCTGGCAAGTATTTGTTTTTATCATCATCATACATTTCTTTCTGGCAAGTATTTGTTTTTATCATCATCACAAACTTCTTCCTTTGAAAATTATTTAAACTTCACAACATTTAGAAAATGTTTTGTTTTGATCTTTAAATTTGATTATAAAGTAAGTAAAGAAGACAAAAGATTTATAATTGTTCACTATATAGTTTCGAAACGTTGTTTCCAAATAAATGTTCTCTGTGGTTATTTCAGCATAAGTAGTGATTTTTTAGTTCAAAATTGAAAATCAAAAACTCAATAAATTTGATTCTCCAAATTGCTCTCTGGTGATTCAGTGGTAAGTCTGAGCTAAAAAATTGGGTTTTGATACCTACAGTGAGTAGAACACAGATAGTTCATTGTATAGCTTTGTGCTTAAGAACAAACAGCCATTATTTTTAGTACCCTGGTGGGTCAGCAATAAGTTTACAGACACTAAAACCCGGGCTTGAAAGTGTTTCCATATCCTAGAACTACTCTTGGAATAACAGTTCAGAAAAAAACTTAATTACATTTAACGGGCATGCGTATCCACAACTCAGAAATTGGTGTGCATTTAAGCCTATTGTGAGAGTCAGAACTTTGTTTCAATTGAAAGACAGAGTTTCAACCTTGTGTAAAATTTATATAGGATATACTACTAGATATCTTCGATAGACTGCAGGAACATTCCTCTTTATAATCAAATAGTTCTTCGAGTGTTCGTAGACATGCATTGGAAGTCTGTAACCGTTTGGCATGTGCTTATAATAAAAAGGTAGTTCCTTCAGCAGCAGATGCATTAATTAAAGTTAGCCATTTGGGAGGGAAGACCAGCCTTAAACAAGCATGCCATGTCTACTCCTTTTCTTTTGAGACTTAGAAGAATCAGACTTATAAATATTGATTATTTGTCCGACAAATTTTTTAAGTAACAACATGTATAAATTCCTAACATACTGTGCATGTCATGTGTAAAACAGTTTAAGCTTTTAATTATTATTAAATGAGAAGTTTTAATTTTTTTAGCCTCCTGATTTTGTTTCAGAAGCATGTTTAACAGCTTTCATGATCTGCCCGAGATAACTCGAACATCCTTCATGTTTCAAACTATTTTTTACCATATTTTTAATTATCTGCCCAAATTAATTTGTGTTATCATGTAATATAATCAATGCTCACTAGATGGCATTGAGAATGCAACTTGAATTATGTCTCACAAACACTGCAGAAAAAGTATTTCAATTCTTTAGTATAGTTTTGTTGAAATAATAGATATCATGTATAAATCCAGATGAGTAATATTTATTTATTGAGTATATTTTATACAGAAATATAACAACAGATGATAAAAGAACTTTTGTTTAAGTATCAAAAACAGAAATAAAAGACCTGATATTTTTGGAACTCATT